TGGCTTTGATKGTGTGAAAATAAATGTTGAGTACTATGAAGCAATTAATCCTCAGCTCTCCTGGGAGTTTGGTAGGTAATTATTGCTATCTTTAGCTTACAGAGTGAGGTGAGCCTCCAAAACTGGGTAATTTGCCCTTGCCCCAGAGATCAAGGACAAGATKCTGACCTGCCTGTATCTGGTTGATCCTTCTAATTGAAACACCCCACTCCTGCTCTTCAGCTGTTTCATGCTCTGCACTGCCACGTCCATCTCTGCAGCSCTCACAGCTTCAGTCATGGAGCAGGTGGAGATTTCTAGAACTTGACCAAAAAACTTTTGGGGACAGCTGGGGGCAGGAAGAGAAGAAGGTCTGAGCTTTCAGCTCTGCAGGGTTGTGGTCAGATGGCTTTAAAGTTTCCCTGTGGTTTGCACACAAGGCCACACCGTGCTGAATGAGGGGACTTCAGCCACAGGAAAGCACCAATGGTTTGTGCTTCATTCTGCAAATAATGAGGTCCCGTAGCRGGATGGGATCGTCCCGTTTGCAAAACACCACAGCCAGTGTTTGCCTGCCTTAATCCCCGACACAAATAATGCACAGAAATTCATTTCCCAGCCTGTTTATGGGATGTGACGCTGTTGCTGTGTTCAAACAAAGTCCCCGAGWGGAAAGCAGAACAGACGCATTGTGKCRGCTCCGGAGAGGAAGCKGAATGGGGAACATAACCCCAAGGGCACAGAGCAGCAAATCCAASCTCAGCACACTGCTGCATGAATCAGCCCTCAAATATTGTCCTTCTAGACACTGCTGCTATCAGGCTTTGTATTTCTGATTGCCAGGGGCACCGAGGAGAAAAGAACAGGCAGGAAACAGCCTGGTTATTTTTATTTACCTCTGCCATTAGTGCCCACCAACATCTCTTTCATTTGTGTGGCATTTTGCCAAACGACTCASAGAGAGAAGGCATTTTGGGCACAAATGTTAATTACCTTTGAGGAGGAGGGTTAAATAATGGTAATGAAGAAAGGCAGGCACGGAAAAGATGCACCAGCCCAAGAYAGTGATCACTGAGGTGATTGCTGTGCTGTACTGATGTGAAGAGGAATTAGATCAAGGCTTTCTCCAATTGTTCATGACTGAGATTAGAAAAAAAAAAAAAAAAATCCCACTTTCCAGCCTGCAATATCAATTTATCAGCAGAGAGGCTGTTCAACACCAAGCAGCTGCCACCTTCCCAGCCTCCCCTCACAGCCCTGGAGTTTAGAAAAGACTTTAGCAGGGAGGTGTTGGATGGAATCACAGCAGGGTGAGCACCAGGCTCCSGTCAGCACCGGGAAATGGAACTGCAGCGCAGGATAGCAGAAAGCGAAACGAATTAACAAAATCTTCCACAATGTCTCTCATTTTTACAGAGACAAGCTCTAATCAGAGCCACACTTTGGTKGAAATACATCTTGGTATTGGAATATGTGAGTGATTCAGCTGAATATCTGGGAATGCTCCTGTTCCCACACACAGAAGGGAAAAAWGAAAATTTAAACCATGACCATCACTAGGCCACCCCATAAAACTACAGTGCAACGTTATGAGTACTTCTGGCTCCCATTCTTGTCTCAAAGAGGACACACAGGGACAAGAAGAGGACAAAAAAAGGATGCCAAAAGCATGGCATTGGGGTTCTGAGGATGGGGCTTGAGAGAGTGTGGGATTTCCAGTCTGCACTGATACAAAACCTTCAGGRAGGGGATGTGTTTTCACTGACACTGACAGTGTAAGATTTGGGACCATGTGATGAAATGAGCAGGAGGTGGGCTTAAATCAAACAATCAGATTTCTCCCAGCACCGTGGACTTCACTCTCTGCCTTGTAGAAAATTATCAGAATTTTTAGAGAGTTGTCTGGAGTCAGTGAAAAATTAATGAGTCTGATGGAGAAAAACAAAAGCTGTGTCTCTCTCTTATTTGCATCTGGCTTGAGCGAAGACTAAAATCAGGATGATATTTGGAGGGTGGCAGAGGTGCCACAGCCTGCTGCTGTTCCARTGAGGCACAAAGGGTGGAGGAGCACCAAAGGGTCCATTTCACCTCTGGTATCCACCATAAATTCTGACCGAAATTAGCCAAGCCCCTCATTAGTGTCCATTTGCATATTAATACTCACACCTTTGGGGATGCAAATGAAGAGAGAACACTCCTCACACATATGAATGCAAACAAAACCCCACCTATGACACAAGATTGTTCCACCCCCTTGGGAAGGGTCAAAAATTATGGTCTAAAAAAGAAGGTGTTTGGAAAAAATAAAAGGTGAAGAAGAAAATAAAAAGAGGAGGGGAAAACAGCTCTGTTTAGTTGGGGTGAGTCAATGGATTGTGTCTCCTAATTCATTGAATGCCAGCAGATTCACATATATTTGTGAAATTAATGWTATTTGTGATATTTGTGATMTTTGTGAATCTGAGKTCATGGAAGTTCTKGTTGAACACAACCAGGCCTGAGAGCTGAATCTGTTGTGATCAAGAATTAAACCCAGCTGCACCCAGCCCCTGATCCCTGAGGATCACGAAGGGGTTTATTTCCTGCCCAATTTATAGACCCTCAACACAACAAACCCATGGAATATYGGATGAGCTGGATCTCCACCCAGTATGATCCACAGGGTAAAATAGGGATCAGATTTTTCCTGTCAAATCTCTGCCACAAGACACAAACCCGAAAGAACCCCAAAATCTCCATCTGCCAACACCTCAGTTCCCTCCTCCTTCCTCCAAAATGTGTTCTTCACAGGTGACATGAAAGCATTAAAAAATAAAATAAACCATAAATAGTTGTATTTATATTTGTTTCTATTTTATTATATATTTTATATTATATATTTTTATATTTATATTGATATTGTATATTTATCTTTTGTATTTTTATTTATGAAATGTAATTTATTAAATTTATTAAATAAATAAATACATAAATAAATACATAAAGTATTTATTTATAAATAGATACATAGAAATTTATTAATAATATGAATAATTAACAAAATGAAATAAGGAAACCCTGAATGGCTCTAATTTGGAGGGAGATGCAGTGACCAGCTAATCAGCCTTGCCCCTGTCATTTTAGATTCCAAACTGAGCTTTATATAGCTTTGCTGGGTGTTCAAACCCTTGTACAACTAATTGAGGTAATTAACATCTTTTCACACTGGCAATTACAGGCTGCCATCAGGCCTATGACAAGAAATGAGGGGTAGGATTGGAATTTTTCATATCAAATGCAAAAAAAAAAAAAAAAAAACAAAAAAAAAAAAAAAGAAAGAAAGAAAATCATTCAGTAACAACAAAACTACCAGTCTTTCCATAAAATCGGCAAAAAAAGATACTAAACTGTTTTTTTTCTCACCTTTTGCGGATTAGCTTTAAAAAGTGAATGGTTTAATGACTTGCTAACAAGAGCTAAAGACTGGATATAATTTTAGATTTTTAACCTTTAAGGCCTTTCCCTTAAAATGGCAGCTTTCTCGGTTGTGTCAGTAAATTGAACAGCCTGAAATTAGGGAGCTGTCTCCAGGGCTTCCCAAATATGAGGATTTTGTTTTCTTTCCTTGAGGATTTTGTTTTCTATCCTCGGCAGGCAGTTTACAAGACAACAAATCTGTCCATCTGTTTGAGCTTGAACATCTAGCTGGGCTGGGGAGAAAGGAACAGTGAGGACGGTATTATTTTCTTATTTCTGCCTTTATTTATAGGGCTTGTTTGGCTTTCTTCTAAAGCAATTTTAGACCTAGGGTTTGTCTGGAGCTGAAAAGAGTACTGTCTTTAATATGAAATTAAATGCTGCACATCATGGTGGAAAGAGGAAAGATTTCCATATTTCTATTAAAAATGAAGGTCATCCTGCTCTTGAGCTGCTCTTCCAAACTGAGAAACCCAGAAATACCACATCAGTGACCTGAAGCATGGAATTGTTCTGCCTTTTCCCAGGCAAAAGKGCAGAGAGAGGACACACAGATCACTGAATTGGGTTGGGGTTTTTTTGGTCCATTTAACCACTTCTTATCAGGCAGTTAATTCAGAGGAAACCAAATGTCTGAATCAATCATTCCTTTCCTTTCCCAGCATGGCTGGGTCATGTTCCTGAAAGTGGAAAGGTGAGGAAAGGGAAAGGGAAAGGGAAAGGAAAGGGAAAGGGAAAGGGAAAGGGAAAGGGAAAGGGAAAGGGAAAGGGAAAGGAAAGGAAAGGAAAAGAAAGGAAAGGAAAGGAAAGGAAAGGAAAGGAAAGGAAAGGAAAGGAAAGGAAAGGAAAGGAAAGGAAAGGAAAGGAAAGGAAAGGAAGAAGAAATATAAAGAGTGGGAAAGGGGCAAATAGGATAACATGGAGAACAAGGGGTAAATGGTAAAAAAAAGTAAAAAGGGGTCAGAAGGGGGAAAAGAAAAGAAAACATGAAAATGGAAGCAAAGTAAAAAGAGGAGAGGAAAAGGGGAAATAATGAAAATGCAATGTGGGAAACAGTAGAGAAAGAGGGAAGAGAGGAGAAAGGAGGAAAAGAAGAAAAAGGAAATAAAAAGAAAGGAGAGAATGGAGAAAGATAAAGGGAAAATGAAAAGGGGGGGGGAGGGGGACGAGAGGGGAAATAGGAAAGAAAGGAGGAAGGAAAGGTAAAGAACGAAAAAGGAAAGAAAGGAGGAAAGAAGGGTAAAGAAGGAAAAACAGGAGAAAAGGAGAAGAAGGGAAAAAAGGGAGGAAAGGAAAATTACTAAAGGGCGAAACAAGCCGGGAAAAAAAGAAGGGGGAGGAAGGAAATGGTGCAGTCCGGCAGAAGGAAGGGGGAAGGAGCCGGAGTGCCCCGGGCAGCGCCGTTCCCCGCCGTACCTGGGGCGGGCGGGGGCGGTGCCGGAGCCGCCCCATGCAGGAGGCGGCGGGGGCGGTGCGGGCTCGGCGGAGCGGAGCGGGATCGGAGCCGCTGCCTCCTCCTCCTCCTCCTGCTGCTGCTGCTGCTGTGCCTCCTCCTGCTGCTGCTGCTGCTCCCGCTGCCGTGCCCGCCGCCGCTGGATGCGCGCAGCCCGGCGCCGGGAGCCGAGCGCTGCCCGCGGCTCGGCGGGGCCGGGGGGACGCGGAGGATGCGCGGCTCGGGCAGGATGCGGGGATCGCTCCTACGCGTCGCCGTGCCGCTGCTCGGCTGCCTCCTGACCGCGGTGAGTGACCGCCGGGGACCCGCGCCGCCTCGGGCAAACTTTGGGCAACTTTGGGAGAAAGCAGGTGGATCTGCTCCTTTCCCTGTGCTCCGATGATCTGGGGAATCGCGATCGCTTGGTTTGCCTTTTGATTCACGTGCGCGTCCCCCTCGCGAGTGAGAGGATCTCTTTGAGCGGGAGGAATTCCCTTCGGGATTTTAGCGTTTCATTTCACAACCGGCTCCTGCTTTCCTTGTCATTCAGGTTTGCAGCCCGGCTTTCGCTTTGCTTGGGTTTCTGTTCAGGAGCTTCATGACTCCTTGCARTACTCCCCCCGAAAACTGGGGATAACGGGATGAGATTTCCCAGAGGGGACTCAGTGTCTGGGCGGGGGGCTCTGGGATGGGATCTGCCTCCAGCTGCCCACGAGAAGTTCGGCAAAGTGCTGCTTTCCAGGAGCTGGAAGCAGGGGATGTGCTCCGGGCTGCCGTGATCTTTCTGGCGGTGATCTCCTTGCGGTCGGGCCGTGTTCGGGGCAGGCTGAGCGCGGGGGTTTGTCTGTCCTGGCGCTGTGTCTTTCCGTGCACACACACGGTCACACGTGCGAGCGGCGCTGATCCTCCGTGCCCACAGCGCAGGCACAGGGCAGGGCTCTGCACGCTTATCTGAGCTCCTGCTCCGCTGGAAGGTGTCYCTGCCCATGGCAGGGCTTGGAACTCGATGAGTTTTCCAACCCAGACCATTCTGGGTTTCTGCAATTCACTGATTTCGCTGAARCTTTGTTCTCGCAGCTCGTTTCCTCACAGTGTTTGATTTATAACGAGATTGGGTTTAATTCAGCCGGCTGGGGCGGGTTGTGTGCTGGTTGTGGCTGAGTTTCCCTCTTTCTTATAACCTTCTCCCTGAGCTGTTTTCTCTCTGGAGGGTGAGGTTGTCCCCCCAGCATCCTGTRGGGCTGGGTGAGGTTGCCCACGGGAACTGGGTTGTGCCATCGGTTCTGGGTTTTAATTCACTTGTGTTTGCTCTACTGGGCTGGTGTCGGTGGCTCTGGTCACAGAATCATCACAGAACTGTAGAATGRTTGGAAGGGACCTTAAAGATCACCTGATCCCAAACCCCCTGCTGTGCACAGGACACCTTTCACTAGACCAGTTGCTCAGAACATCATCCAGCCTGGTCTCAAAGCAGAATCAGACAGACCAGGCTGAGCCTCAGAGTGTGGAAGTTAACCCAGATGTGTCAGTGAATCACTTGTCTCCCTTTTCTCCTCTCCTTTCTTGTCCCCTTGTCCTGCAAGAAATGAGACAAATGGATTTAATTTCAAATTTTTTTGGCTGTTGCCATGAGCCACTCAGCCGTCTGCATTGCCAAAGACTTTTTTAGGGGATGAACAGGTTGGGAAAATGGATTAAAATATTTTTTAAAAAATGACCAGGCAAATAATTCTTGGAATTCTACAGTGTTTGCTTTAGGGAAGATCCAAAATAACCCATGTGTCCAGGGTTGGAGCTGGGGAAAGGAGAAGGGGGCAGTGTCCTCCTCAGCTGCTGGAGCTGCTCCAACTCTTGCTTACACTRAAGCCCATGGCAAAATTCCCATTTCTTTAGAGATTGTTGGCGTGGAGAGCTCCTCTGGGGCTGGGTCCTGCAGAGGGTGAGGTCGGGAGGCTGCTGAAGAGYTCACCCTGCACAGGGTGGTGGGATCAGGCTGTGGGTGATGCTCTGGGGTTGCCATCAATGAGCACASAGCCCTAAAGCTTTGGGGCAGCACAAGGCACAGTCTGGGTACAACCCCATAACTGCTTCCTTTCCAACCCTTTTATTATTCTGTTGTTAACGTTCCTGGGATCTGGTTCKTGCTGCTGCGTTAAAAAGCTTCACCTGCTCCTTTATCAGAGCTGATCTGCAAGGTGACTAATACCGAGGAGCCTCGGCGCTGCAGAAAATCCCCGGTTTGTTTCTCGGCTTAAACCCGGGATTTGGTGCTGATTTTTGAAGCAAGAGTAGCTCTGCAATCACAACAACCCCTCTCTGGGACCTGCTCAGCAGAGTTTGGTTGGTTTGGGCTTCTTTCGTTTAATTTGTGATGATTTTTATCGCTGCGTCCTTGGGGGAAAAAAAAAAAAAAAGTTCTGAACGAGAACAATTGGCCGATCAACAAGTTCAGCGCAATAAAACTGTTGCAGCCGCGTGGTTTCTAATTGCTGTTATAAACTTTCACCTCTCATCACCCACGCTGTGGGGAAAAGGGAATTGGGCAGATCTCATTTGTTGCAGTTCATCATGCCACGCTCACCAAAGCCCTGCCTCCTGCCAGGGGCAGCTTGGAAGAGTTGGAAGAAAAGCGTTAAAGAAGTYGGTGGTGTAAATGCACAATAATCCCTTTTAGGTTCCTCTGTGTTGGTTTTAGAGGTGTAATTAAGATAATTTGGCCTGGAGAGCTATAAATTAGATTTTTTTTTAATCCCCAGTGTGTGTCTAGAACATGAGATGTAGATAATTTGAAGCAGTTGGTGGGTTCCACGTGCCTTCAGACTACGAGCTCTTGGAATCAGCCARATCTGCCCAGCTGGTGTAATTTGTGCTTTTCTTCAGGGTTTTGCTCTGYTCCAGCCTTGAAAGTAGATTTGTCACGAAAAAAACTGAAACGACTCAGGTCTGATTCTTCATCGGTCTGAGTGTAAACGCTGGAAATGTGATCAGTGTGGAAAAGCAGTGAAATCTGAGCTCACGGGACAACCACTTCAGCTGTGTCTGTGCCTCTTTCCTCCTGCCATTGATTGAGAATCTGTCAAGTCAGAGAAATGTATTTTAAACAGAACAATCACTGGTTTTGGCCAAAAGACAAGGTRCTCACTGGAATCCTCCAGCCCAGTTCCTGCTTCAGCACGAGGATCCTTTAGCAATAACAGCTCATGTTTGACAAAGGCCTTGCCACAAACCCTCAGTGCGTCGCTGGGTGCAGGATTTATTCAATCTCTRCTTGTATAAATGCATGACTGACATTGTTCTGGAGAACCAGTTGCCCAGCCCCGTGTCTGGGTAGCTCTGAAGGTCTCCCAATAACGCTGAAAAAGTTTTCAGAGGRCACATAATCAGCGATAATGATATTGTAGAGGATTTTATTTAGGGCATTAAAAGGCAAAATTGAAAAATTTGGCGGGAGAAAACAGTATCTGAGGGGGAAAAAAAGTGCAATGTGGAGTATTTAAGGCTGTTTCAAGCAGTGTTTTACTCCAGCTCACCAGAAAGTCAGCACATTCACACTGTCATTGTCACATCCTCCCGCGGCCGAGGTCTGTCCCCAGCAGGGAAACTCCKGAGAACCAGCCGGGATGGGAATTGCGATGGGTTAGAAAAGCARGAGAGTCTACCAGGGTGTTTGTCAAAAAAAGGGGGTTTTACCAGACTTTCAACATCGGGAGGCAGTGGGACCATGGACAGGGAAAGCCTCCCGGGTTGAGAATTTGGGTGTGGAAGTGTTTTTCCCCATTTTCACCGCACTGATGTTGAGGTGAAAGGTGTGAGAGCCGGAGGAATAGAAATGCAAATTTGGGGAGCTGCGTTTTGCCCTCTGGTGGCTCCGGAGGCTGACCAAACATTTTGTTCTTGCTCTCAGGGTTTCTCAGTGACTTTGCCGAGAGGTTTTTTTCGTCTCCTCACACTTTGCTTTCCAAGGAGAGATCGGGGCAGTTGGGGGATGCTCTGCGCTTTTGGAAAAATCGGCAAATGGAGTGTGAGTGAGTGGTGGGACCATGTCAGGAGAGAGGTGTTTCAGCTCTCCAGAGACACTGGCTGCCTCGGAAATGGCAAACATGCAGAGTTTACATTCGTTTTCAGGAGGAAAAAAAGAAAAAAATAGAGTTTTTTGCCTTTACCAGATGGTCTCCAACAGCAACAACTGGAGAGACTGGTGACTTGTCAAAATCAATCTTCCACATGATGTGCTGGCGGGCTGGGAGAACTGGGAGTTTTCTGGTGTTTGSGCAGGGTTGTAGGCACAAATCCCTGTTGGAGCAGAGGAAAGAGGGACAGGAGGGATCTCTCCCTGTTCAGCATCAGATGTCCCATTATTGGCAGCCTGGGGAAGGACACCAAACTCTGTGGAGATCAATGACACCCCAGACACGAAGATCTTTTCTTAAGTCAGATTTGAGTGCACTTGGAGGAGATTTGTTACACCCTGTGTGGCTCAAATTCAGGAAAGAACTCAAATTATCTGTGCAGAATAAAAACTGTAACTCAGGTTTTGGTGGGGAGCAGGGCTCAGATGGGTTTTAGGAGCTCAGTAGGTCATGGCCTGCCCTCAGAGCAAGTCAGCACCAGTGTGGCAGTGCCACTTCACTGCTGCAAATGGGGTCCCTGCTGTGTCACCCTGGCTCAGAGGACACGGATTTGTGGTGTTCTGATGCCTGGGAAAGGCTGTGGGATTAAACATTGCCCCRTTCTCTGTTCTCAGCAACTTTCTGTCCTCTGTGTTGGAAAGGGAAGCCTTTTGTGAGAATCAAATCTTAAATCAGGGGCCAAAACCACAGACAAAATGCGTTGGGGGTGACTGGAGCCCCCAGAACAGGGGGGGTTGGAGCTCTGAGCCAGCAGGTGGGATGGAGGRCGTGGATGGACAGACACACAGCTTTGCCTGGTACAGATTTGTCCTCCTGTCCCRTGCAGCTGAGCAGGTTCCCCTCCGTGGGTGCTTCCCACRCTCCCAGATATGCTCCAAGAATCAYGAGCTTCCACAGCCTGACCCAGAGGGGAGACACTTCTTGCCTTCAAAAMTGAGATCTCAGAGGGCCACGGTGAAGGAAAACCCAAACCTTTCATTTCAGGGTATGAGACAGCCAGGGATGTGATGCCAACCCTCAGACTGGCACCCACCCGGAGCCCACACAGCTCCTGCCGTGGCAGAGGAGTCCCGTGTCAGGCTGGAGAAGACTGCCCACCAGCTGAGCATCATCACTCCCTTTTGGAGCAGCCCCCAGCACGCTTGGCTCTCTGCCTGGCCGCCAGGGATTTCTCCGG